CACACACACACACACACACACACACACACTTCTCTTTTGAGAGAGAAGAAAGGGTATTAAATCCAGTGAGAGCTGGCTTAATTTATGCCTATACCTGAAATATGTTAAGAGGTACTATCAGATCCCCACCTCCCAAAGAGCCAGGCAGTTATTAGCTTTTCTGGTAAACATAAACAAGAATTCCTTGGGGTTTCATTGGGGGCTGCTATTATTCTGATCTGATGAAGTACAAGGTGCCTTGTCTCATTTTAATTTATGTCCAGTCTTTTCTACTCAAAGGCTCAATGACATATTAAGATCCTTTGGGATTTAGCACTTGTTAGAAGGGTCATGATAACAAAAGGGAAAGGTATTTGGAAATTATAAATTACCCATTACACACAAGTCATATCCCTTGATAGTGCCATAGAGCAGGGACTAAATGCTTGTGGAAGGAATTTCCTTTTTTTTTTTTGAGGATCACAGAGTCATATCAAATGTTCAAAGAATTGTAGATCATTGCATTACTGCTATAGAGCTGGAAGGGAGTCCATAGGCCATCTAGTATAACTGCCTCCTTCTATAATGGAAGAAACTGAGCCCTCGACATGCTTCCTGACCTGCCCAAAGTCGTGACGGTAGTAAGCTTCTTAGGTGGGATTTGAACTCAGCTTCTCTGACTTCTGAGCCAGTGCTTGTTTCACTGCCTCCTTAATTAGGTGGAATTAGGTTGCTTTTAGACTGCCTTCTGCACAGCTTGATCATCTTTTTGTTACACAGAGATTTTCCTTAAAATAGTTTCATTATGATGGAATTTAAATTCTCAAGGGTCATAAAACTTGATAACTAAGGGGGACACTTTATGGATCACTCATTTTACAGCTGTGGTAGAAAGAGCACTGGGTTTGGAATCAAGGGACCTGGGATTGACTCCTGGCTTGATCTTTATTACCTGTGTGTCTTTGGGCAAGTTCCTGAAATAGTCCAGGCCAGGGCTGGGGAACCTGCAACATCAGCTGGGAAGGGGAGGTGTGGAGCACAGATCAGCAAAGTCTTCATGCAGAAGTTGGCACTTCAGTTGTGTCTTGAGAGAAGAGAGGGGCTCAATGAGGCGGAGGCGATGAGGGAGCACAATGCAGGCATAGGTGAAAACGGTCAGCGCAGTGATTCACTTTACAGAGAAACTAAGTCCTGGACCAGGCGTGGGGAACCTGCGGCCTCAAGACCACATGTGGCCTGCTAGGTCCTTGGGTGTGGCCTTTTGACTGAGTCCAAGTTTTACAGAACAAATCCTTTCATTCAAGGGATTTGTTCTGTGAAGTTTTGATTCACTAGGCCTGGAATCAGGAAGACTCATCTTCCTGAGTTCAAATCTGGCCTCAGACACTTACTAGCTGTGTGACCCTGGGCAAGTCACTTAATCCCAATTACCTAAAAAAAGCCAAAAAACAACAAACAAACAAACAAAGAGTCAGACACAATTGAATAACAACAATAAAAATGTATTTGTATATCTTTTTTCCTTATTCTTTACATATGTACATGTATGTGTATATATGTACTTGTTATCTTTTCCCATTAGAGTGAAACATCATTGCAAGTAGCAATTCTTTCACTCTCTGTATTTGGAGCCCTAGAGCTTAGCACAGTGCCTTGTACATAGTAAGTGCTTAATAAAAACTCATTAGATGGTTGATTGAAAAAGTCTGAAGTTCCTTCTGGCTCTTAGAGTTCATTATTGATTCTATTAGTAGGTCAGAAAGCTAACAAAAGGAACCTACAGCTTCATGTCCCCAAATACATAGGCCACCTGGTTGATGCATAATGCATTCAGTATCAGATATTCTTATCCTGTATGTGTGCCATTCATTTTAGCAAGTAGAAATCAAATTATAGTAAATGGAAATAATGAACATAAATCACAAAAATCCATATAAGAAGTTGAATGTGCCAGATACAAAGATGTAAAGGCTCTTTCTCTGACTAAATCATGGTGTTTTCTGGTGTAAAAAACTAATGTTTGTTGACCATGTTTATTGACAAGCTCCTATAATAACCACTGTGGGGGAATACAAAGATATAGAAGACCCAGCCTTTGCTTTCTAAGAGCCAGTGAGCTGTCAGGGGAGTTAGGACATGTTTGTAAAGAACTACAGTACCAAATAATGTGTGCTAAGTGCACCTTGAGTGCCACAAGTGAAATAAAAGTTAAATGAAAGAGAGATAACTTCAGGATTAGTTGATCTAAGTAATAGGAGACTAGGCCAAATGGAAATGGGTATAATTTTAATGGGTGGAGATGGAAGGGGAAGGCATCTTCAACAGAGGGAATAGGATAAGCAAAATTGCAGGGGTAGGAAAGCATAAAACTTGTTTGAGGAAACACCGAGTAAACTACCCTGTTTAAATTGGAAGGTTTTGTCTGGAAGTAATATGAGCTGTGAAGATAGGGTCCAGATTGTGGAGAGCCTTAATGTCATACTAGAGAATTTAAACCTTTTTTTTTCAATGGAAGTGGGAAGCATTATTTTAGCAAGAGAGTGATGTTATCAAAGAAAGGTTTTAAAAACTATTAATCTGATGATAGAGTATAGATTGGAGGCAAGGAAACCAGTTATGAAATTGTCACCACGGGGCAAATTTGAAGTCATAAGGGCTAAATTAAGTGGGTGGCTGGCTAATGAGAATGGAGAGATTGGAACAGGTGCAAGACAGAACAATCACTAGGATGCATGAGTGTGGAGGACAAGACAAAGAAGACGTAGAATTATCATTAAAGAAGATAATGAATTTTTGAGTCTTGGTGACTGGAATTCAACAAACAAATCAACATAAATTCACTAAGTTGCTATTCTAAGCAAAGCACTGAAGTTACCTAGATAAAAATAATGTATACGTTGCTTTTGTTGAGATTACCATACAATAACAGAAAGATATATACAAATAACTATAATGGTAGGAAAATGCAAAGTAAGTGTGGAGGGGTTGAATCAAAGTGTTATGAAAATGTTAAGGAGGGAAAGATCATGTTTACCTGGACTAATGTGGAACAGAGGCTTCATGGAGGAAGTGACGCCTCAGTTGAGCCTCGAAAGAAGGGGAAGACTTCAGCAGAGAAGAAAGTCTATTCGAGAAGGATGGTGGGAGGAAAATGACATTGACAGGAAAGGGGAAAATCAGAACATAAGACAGAGAGAAATTCAATTTGACTAGAATGTAGATTACATGAAAGAAATTATTGTAAGATTGTACCAATATGTTGGACTTGGATTGTAGAAGTCCTTGGATGCCGGAATCAAGAAATGTTACTTTTTTCAGTGTGTAATCTTCAGTGGACAGCCACTGAAGTTTTTGAATGAAGAAGTAACATTATCAGAGTGGTATATTAGGTAAATTACTCAGGCACCAGTGTGAAGAATAGATTGATGAGGAGACAAACTAGAAACAGACCAGTATAGAGGCTATTATAATAATTTAGGCAAAAAGAAATGAGGACCTGAACTAGTCTGGTTGGAGTGGGAGTAAAAAGAAGCAAAAGATACATTACAAAGATAGAATCAACAGGGCTTGTTGGCAATTGATTGGATGTGCCTGGTGAGGGAGAGGGAAGATTCAAAAATGACTCTAAAGTTATGAGCCTGAAGATTATGAGTGTGAAGATGATGGCACCATTAACAAAAACAGAGAGGTTATGGGGAAGCAGGAGTTTTTAGAGGAGAGATGACTAGTGAAGTTTTGGATATGTTGTTTGGGGTGATGAGGGGAGGGACATCCAGGCAAGGACACCCTTATCCAATATTCTGGTTGGAACTACAGGACTAAAGCTTCAGGGGATTATAGTGAGGAGTGTGGGAGTAGAAATCAAGGTTTGCGAGTCATCTACATAGGATTGAAGCTGTGGGGATGCATGGGATTGTCAGAAAAAGGACAAAACCTAAGTGAAGCACCCATATAGGAAGAAGGTAAGGAGCTGTTAAAGAAGACAAAGAAGCAGGGGGAAGCATGGGAGAACCATGAGAATACTATGCCATGGAAGCCAAGGGAAGAGAACATATCAAGAGAGAGGTGGCCCACAGTGTTGAATGCTGCAGAGTGGTTAAGGAAGATGGTCTCTAAGGTCCCTTCTGGCTCGAGGTCTATGATCCCATGCGTCTAAGCTGATGATAGGAAAAGGGCCGTGGATTTGGCTGTCAGGAGGTGTTTGGTGACTTGGGAGAGAGAATTGTCTCACATAGAGTGGTGTGGTCTGAATTCATATTGCAAAAGGTTGCAGTGCGTAACTGGGAAGCGAATGAGCTTACAGTGTATGGGAGGGAGAGTAACAATAGCCTGAAGGGGTGGGAGGGTCAAGGAAAGATTCTGTTTTGGTTTTGGATAGAGAAGAAATAAACTTATTATTATTATTATTTATTAATAATTTAATATTAATTGATGGCACTTTAAAGTTTTAAATATGTTATCTCATTTGATATTTGAAACAATTCTGTGATATTAGTGCTGTTATTATTCCCATTTTAGGAATTTTAGGAAACTGAGCCTGAGAGAGATTAGGTGACTTGCCTAGGGTCACACAGCTACTAGGTTATCTGAGGCAGGATTTGAAATCAAGTCTTCCTGACTCTTAAGTCCTGCACGCTATACATTGCACCACCTAGTTGCCTCTGTCTAGTTTAGTAGACTAAGGGGAAGGAAACTGCCTCTAAGAAGGGAGAGATTAAAGATGAACAAGAGAGAAGGCATCATTGCTGGAACAAGATCACAGAGGAGGTAGGAGAGGCTAAGACTGAAAATATACCAGCAGAGGGGTTGGCGTTGGCAAGAAGGAAAGATCACTCCTTCTCTTGGAACTTGAATGAAGGAGGAGAAAATAGAGAAGGATATTGAGAAGGGCAGAAGAATAGAATAGGGGAACTGAGATGGCCTTGATCTCAGTAAAATAGCAGGTGAGAATAAAATAGGAGAGAGTAGAGTTAGGAGTGAAGTGATACGGTTTGGAATAGTCTTTGTGGGGAGTATGACAGTCAGGTAGAGAGAAAGGTCTAATTGAGTTTAGATAACATAAATTTATAGTAGACTAGTCAGTGCAATTTCATGATTTCTTCCAACTGCATTTGGCAACTTGGGATTAGGAATAGACAAGCAAATGATAAGATTTACCAAAGGAAAAAAACAGAAAATAGAAAAATGAAAAATTAACAGAGAAATAGAGATTTCAGAGGAAGTTCTGGTGTTTGATTTTAGACGTGTTGAGTTTAAGGTGGTAATATGACATCTGTGTCAAAATGTTTAGCAGTCATAAAAGCTGTCCTGAGTTTTGTATTGCCACAGGAGTTCGATGACTCTGAAAGAGAGAGTGAAGTTGATGACATTGTGCGACTTTGCCTCATTTAAATCCAATTCAAGCACGAGTCGAGACATCTCCTCATGATGTCATTGGTGCACTTCAAAAGTGAAGGACAAGCAACAGCAACAGCAGTCATATGGGAAGATAGGATTGGGGGGGGAAGGCTGGAGATGTAGATTTAGGAGTCATTCACGTGGAGGTGAGCATTTAAATTATGGGAGTGAATGAGAACGTACAGAGAAAAGAGGAGACGGCCAAGGACATAGTCTCTGAGATCTTCTCAATTTAAGGGTTGGTAAGGGGAAAGATACCTGTAAAAGAGACAAAAGAGGAACAGAATCATGAGAGTATGGTGTTAGAAAAGCCAAGGAAGGGACAGTTAAATGTATCAAAAGCAGTTCAAAAAGGATGAGGACCAAGAAAACTTCATTTGCATTGGTTTTTAGCAAAGTACTTTTATTTTTTATTTATATATATTTATTTTTGCAAGGCACTTTTAGTAAAGTGGTGGTGTGGGGAGAGAAACTACCACATTATAGAGGGTTAAGGAAAGGGTGAATGATGAAGAATTAAAGGCAGCAGCTGTGAATTATTGGTTGAAGAGGAATTCCATTTAGAAGGAAGGAGGAAAATAAAACAAAAGCTAAAAGGGGCAAGCCTGAGGATCAAATATGAAGATTTTTTTCAAGTAGGAAATGTGTATGTGTGTAAAGACCTAGGGCAAGAAGATGATGGAAATTTTCTTACTAATTTTGAATTTTGGAGGCTCCATTGGGTCTTTTTGCATTTCCACTGTCTCAATAACTATTTGCCTCACTCCAAAATTGAAAGCCACTCCTTACTGAGATGGTGTGTACCAGGCATACTGAGCTGGAACTAGTGTATCTGAAGCTCAGACAGACATAATCACTGCAGCGATCTTCTGAGACACAGATTTCTCTAGGGCCACCTGCGTCTCTTCTGTAATCTCTTTAATGGTTCACAGGTAATCCATCTGGTACCTAAGGATCTCCATTCTCTTAATACCTTTCCACCTTTCACTAGAAGATCTTAAAATCTTCCTTCTTCTCTTTTCTAGAGGACACCTTTCCCGTCATGTCTACAAAGATGGCTCGATCTAGGTGGCACAGTGAACAAGAACATACTCTCCAAGAGTCCTGGAACTCCCTCACTGCCTTCAATCGTTCTCACCGGGGTCGCATATCCAATATGGAATTTCAGGGCGATATCTTTGATGAATTCCTACAGCAGCAAAAGATTAGTAGACATGGGGAACAGCCAATGACAAAGGAAGGAAAACAGGAATTGTTAAAAGGGCAGGAAGATAATTCCATAGATACAGATGATGAGAATGATTTTAAAATTCCAGTGTTGCCTCACGGACAACATTTAGTTATTGACATCAAATCAACCTGGGGAGACAGACACTATGTTGGTCTTAATGGAATTGAAATTTTTAGCTCCAAAGGAGAGCCTGTACAAATTTCTAACATAAAAGCTGAACCCCCTGATATTAACATTTTACCAGTCTATGGCAAAGATCCTCGTGTAGTAACCAACCTAACTGATGGTGTGCATAGGACCCAAGACGATATGCATCTTTGGCTGGCTCCATTTACCCCTGGCAAATCTCACTATATTTATATTGACTTTGTACAGCCTTGCCAGGTTGCCATGATTAGAGTTTGGAATTATAATAAATCACGGATACATTCTTTTCGTGGAGTAAAAGACATCATGATGTTATTAGATGAACAGTGCATATTTAAAGGAGAAATTGCCAAGGCTTCAGGAACACTGACTGGAGGTATAATATATTCAGAGGAACATTAAATGAAACTTCTACCCCCTCTTCCTGGGAATTTGGGCAAAAAAGGCACTCAATATCACAAGAGAAAGTTGTCAATCCCACTTTCACTGGTCCATTAGTTTCCAACTGTCCCATGTTAAAGCTAGCAGGGACCTTAGGATACAGAATATAGAACATGAAATGTTGAAGCAAGGAGGAAACTTATAACACAAAACATAGAATGTTAAAGCCAAAAGAGACCCTGGGCATCATCTGTTTCAACCTCTTCATCTTGCAGATGACAAAACTGAGGCCTAGGAGTTTTAATGACTGGCTTAATATTTTGAAATTAGTTAATGGCAAAGCTGTTATCCAGAACACCTAATCCTTTTCAGTTCTCTGTGCTGCCTACACTAATTAATAATTATTTGCATATATTTTGAAAGTAGTTAGGTACTATGAAACAGTCTCATCCATTCAAACATATCACATGTACATCCATTTGAAGGTGTCACATATTGCAATGAAGTGTGGTTCTTCCCCCTAGTTTATTTGGTTTGTACTGTTCTTATCAGTTAGATTCTGTTTGCCCAAAGTATAAAGAATGATGGATCATTCAAGAATTAAGAAGAGCTATGGAACATATTAGTGATTTTGATTTTTTTTCAGTTTTATAGCCTTCTTTTAAAAATTACATAGAATTTGGGGAGTGGGTGGATCAGTCTTGTATCTCTACTTTTCTAAGTCCTTATTACTCTTTTAGCCCCAGAGCATTTTGGAGATACTATATTATTCACAACTGATGATGATATTCTTGAGGCCATATTCTGTGCTGATGAGACATTTGATGTTGATGTTGAAACCCTGTGCAGTCTGAGATATGAAGAAGAATTCAAGAGACCACAGACAGCAGATGGGGAGGGTGATGAAAGGCCATTCACCCAAGCTGGTGTACGTATAGATGATCAGGTAGGAGATGGTTAGTAGCAAACATCTAAAGACATGATTTCTATGTGTTACTCACAGTAGAGGACCAATATGTGAAGATCAGAAGTCTCTTGATACTCTTCAAAACGTCAAAATAATCATGAATTGATCAGTGTGGGTAATCAGGAAGATCATGAGCCCTACCTGCCACTGCCACTCTCTGATAGTAAGCCTTTCCTGATTCACGTGGCTCTACTTTCAGGCAGCAGACACAGAGTGTCATCCACATTGTGCTTGAAGTCTTCCCTACTTGTTGGAACTGCTTTGTGCCTACAGAATTGCTAACATCACCACCAACTTCATAACACACACTTATATTGAACACTAGAGTTTGCAGAACACTTTACATACATTATCTCATCGGAGCCTTGTAGAAACCTTATCATGTGGATATTGTGGGCATTATTATCCTCATTTTGCAGATAAGGAAACTGAGGCCCAGAGAGGATAAGTGACTTGCCCATGGTACTAGAGCTGTTTGGAGGCAGAATTTAAACATGGGCTTTCTGAACTCTGAGCACAGTACTGAAAAGCCTAGAGTTGACCTACCTACCAAATTGAAAGCATCAAAGGAATTTAGTAGATATCCCCAAAATCAGATTCCACAGAATCACAGAAACTCAGCATTAGAATGAGTCTCAGAAGCCATTTAGTCCAACCCATACCTGCAGAAGAATCCTCTTTACAATGTAGGTAGTCATCAACCTTGACATAAAGACCCCCAATAAGGGAGAACCCGCTATTTCTCAAGGCTATCCATCACACTTTTGGATAGCGCTAATTGTTTGGAGCTTTTCTCTTATATCAAGCCTCTATCTGCCTCTTTGTACTTTCCGTCTGTTGCTCCTTGTTCTGCCATTAAGGGCCAAGCAGATCTGTTTTCCATGTGACAGCCCTTCAGATCTTGAAGACTACTGTCATATCCCCCTACTCCCCAAACCCCATCCAAAGTATTAATTTCTTCAAGATGAACATTTCCACGTCCTTCAGCTTTTCCTTCTACAGCCTGATTTCAGTGCCCCTCACAGTTGCTGTTGTCATCCTAGATACTCTCCATAGTATTATTAGTGTCTATAAAATATGCCAGTAGTATGTCTATACAGGACAGAGTATAGCAGCATGTGTGAACTTCCTCATCCTGACCTCCATGCCTCTCTTACCGCAGCCTACTATTTCATTAGCTTCCTTAGCTACCATCACAGTCCTTGTGTGCTGTCTTCTAAACCCTCAAGTCTTTTTCAAACTGCTGCCTAGCAATACTTTCCCCATCCTGTACTTGTGAATTAGATTTTTTTGAACCTTGCATTTATCTCCGTTATATTTTACTTACTAGATTCAGCCCAATGTTCTAGCCGGTCATAATCTTTGTGTATCCTGATAGTTTTGTCCAGCATTCCTAGCTGTCCCTCCTACTTTAGGTCATCTGCCTGTTTGAAAAACATGCCATCTATGCTTTTATCTAAATTATCCAGAGCAGCATAGGGCCAACCACAGGCCCCTGGGGAGCCTACACAGGAGACCTTTATCCCAGTTGACACTAAGCCATTAAAAACTACATAAGGATGAGGAAGAACCCCTCTTTGATATTGTACTGTAGGGGAGAGCACCCAGCAGTAGACTAGAAAATAGCACTTGGGCCATGCCAGAATAGAGGTGATGTGGCATAGCAGAAAGAACCTGGATTTGAATTCTACTTACTATGGTACCTTGAGCAACTCATTCCACCACTCTGTGCCTCAGTGTCCATCTGTAAAATCAGGGGAGTGGACAAGGTGACCTGTAAGGGCCTTTCTCACTTTAAATTTTAGGATCCTAACAATTAGTAGCACAGATACATTGAGCAATCTTTGCCACACTTGGGCACCATGTCAAATTACTTAATTCCTTGGGCTCTTGCATTTTCCATCTGCAAAATGGGAAAGTCATATTACATGCCTTGTATGATTTCCCTACATGCATTGCAGAAAAATTGTGAAGAGAAGACTGTAATACACATGAATAATTAAAACTTCTTAGAGGAAAGATTTAATTGGCACTTTTAGTTATTTCAGAGCAGTGAAGAACCAGCATAGTTCCAGATCTCTGAAATCCACAGCTGATCCAAAAACCAATTTATAGCCATTAGTGTCAACCTCTTTCATTATCAAAAAGTAGCTACTAAGAAGGATTATTTACATCTATATGTTTAGATATACATATATGTATATATATGTGTGTGTGTGTATACATATATATACACATACATATATATACACACACACATATATACATATATACATATATATACATATATACATATACATACATACATACATATATATATATATATATATATACACACACACACACACACACACACATATACACACGTGGATTTGGGTTTTCCTTCCTTTCTTTGACTAGTAGTGCCAACTCAGAACCAGAGAATGGTGATGATGGTGGTGGTGGTGGTGGTGGTGGAAGTGGTGGTAATAGCGCATGCATTTAGATTATGCTTTACCATTGACAAAATCCTGAGAGGTGCAGATAGTGCAAAATCTCAGTTTTGTAGATGAGGAAACTGAGTCTCAGAGAGGTTAAGTAATTTACTTGACTTTTATGTGGGTTGGAACTAGGACTTGAACCCCGAGACTTCTCTCAGCCCGACAGTCTTACCACTATTGTACCATACTGACAAGTACAGACGATTTAAAAAGAAAATCATTAGAGTCCCTGTCATTCACCAAGTATTTATGGTGTTCACTCTGTCCTGAGCATTATGGTGAGCAAAGCTGTGCAAGATATAGTCTCTGTCCTCCAGGAGCTTACAGTCTGGTAGAAAAGATAAGAATTATCAGGAAAAGATAAGCACAAGGGTGGATAATGTACATACATACTAGGCAATTATGGTATAAGCCATTGAGAATTGACTTTTTGCTTCTTTTTGCCTGTATTTTTAGGCTCAAGAGCAAGAGTTGGCCTCCAGCCCGCCTCTGCTTGAGTTGACAACCCCTGAGCCAGGAGTTTACAGTGGAATGTGTGAGTACTCATTGTCTTAGTGGTGCAGAGTATAATTCCTTCTTGCATCCAGAACAATGCTTGACATAGAGAAGGAATGTTGGTGAATGAGGAGGGACTGACTTATCTCCAGTCCACCACAGAACTGAAAAGTGAAATTATCTCAGCCATCTGGATTTGCGATTTCAACAGACCTGGATGCAAAATATATGTTTGGTCAGAATTTATTAACTGGTGAACTAATACACTTTTTCAAGTTTTGTCTCTATTGTGGAGGAAAGATCATACATGGCAAGGGATTTCAACTTTTTTTCTTGTACCTGAATCCCCGGCCCTGGGAATCCTCATGTCCTTTTCATCTGTCTACTAGGCAGTTAAATCTCCTTGCTTCCCCTAGTTATCCTTGGGGATTGTTCCGCTATTTCATCTGGTTTGTGGGCATTTTCCTGAAGAATTAGAGTAGATATAATTGTGGCATTTTGAACCATGTGTAAAATTGTCACTTTAAGAAGGTATTTTCTGCTATAATTTATTCTGTATGGGTATTCTCATCTGGGATTTAGCCCAAAAAGTAGTAAAGAGGCCAGATAATCAGCTTTTCAAAATTATTCATTGGGTCTCTAATAGATTATAGTTTTCCAAATTTCTCATTCAAGGCCCTCTACAATATGGTTCCAATCTTTCTTTTCCATCTCCTCACTCACTACTCCTCACATAAACCTTCCATTTCAACCAAACTGATCTGCTCACTGATCACCGAAAACTTTTTGTTTTCAACTCACTTTCTCCACTGTTTGTTTCATTTCCTTTGCTTAGGAAGCTTCGTATCATATAGCTCAAGACCCAATTCCAATGCCATATCCTCAATGAGCCCTTCAGCCAAAAGTGGTCCCTTTTTCCTCTGTACTCCTTAGTTAATTTCCTTTTTTTTTTTAATGAACTTAATTATCAATAAACACAAACATTCCAATATAGAAAGAGGGGGGAAGAAAGATGATTGGAAGATTGTATATGAAATTATGAACTTCTACTACATATCATTTGTTTTTAAAAAATGTATTGTAAATTTAACAAGGTATACACAGAATTGCCATTTCTATCCCTTTCTGAACTTTGTTTTTGTGTGTTTTATTTGATCATCTTTTCTTTTATTTCATCTCTGTACCTTCCTATTAATTTATTGTTTTATTGATCATCTTTTCTTTTATTTCATCTCTGTACCTTCCTATTAACTTACCTCTCCCTACCCCAACCCCATCACCAGTAGAAGCCTTCCCTTATAACAAATACATACAGTCCCACAAAACAAATCAACACATTGACCGTGTCTTCTCTACCCTTCTCTACACTACACCTCTCTTCTAAGAAACAGAAGCTCACCTGCTTTATCATCAGTCTTCTGTAATTATTATTGGTCACTGTGTGGGTAAGAATTCTGAAACCTTTCCAAACGCCTTGACATCTTTGTGGTCATATTGCAAATTGTTCCAGTTCTGCTTATTTCACTTTGCATTAGTTCATCCATAGTTTCCTAAGTTTCTCAGAATTCTTTATATTTGTCATTTCTTGTGGAACAAGAATAGTCCAAAGCAGTTTTTTCAGCCATCCCCAAACTGATAAATACCCACTTTGTTTCTAGATTCTTGCTGCCCTGAAAGGGCTGCTATAAATATTTTTGTAGGTATAGAGTCTTCCTCTAGGTCTTTGACCTCTTTGGGTTATTTGCCTAATAGTGGTATTACTGGGTCAAAAAGTATATAAAGCTTAGTGACTTTAGGGCTATAATTTCAAATTGTTTTCCAAAATGGTTAATGCAGTTCACAGCTCCAGCTATGGTATCTTAGTGTGCCTATTTTCTTTCTGTCCTTAAAGTATTTGTTATTTTCATCTTTTGTCAGAGAGCTAGACTAATGGATATGAGTTGAAATCTCAGAATTGTTTTTAATTTACATTTTTCCTTTTATTAATGATATGAATCTTTCTAGTTGTTGATGAAGCATTTCTGTTGTTAATAGACTTTTGTTCCTATCTTCTGACCCCTTATTGGGGAACAGCTCTTCTTCTCATGTATGTGTATCAATTTCATAATTATTTGGAGATCAAACCTGTATCAGAGATATTTGTTACAAAGATTTTTCTCCCAGTTAACTTCTTCTCTCCTAACTCTAATTGATTTTGTCAGTACAAAAATGTTTCAATTTTATGTAATTGAAATTGCCCATTTTATTTTTTATGGTCACCTCTATCTCTTGTTTATTTAAGTTTAGAATTCTTCCTCTAGCTATAGTTGGAAAAGATACTTCCATCTGCTCCAAAATTTTTTAAATGATGTGACCTCTTATATTTAGGTCATGTGTGCATTTGAGTCAACAAGTCAATCAATCAGAAATTATTTATTAAGCACCAAGCACTGTGTCAGGGACTAGGAGTACAAATAAAATTAATGAAAGAATCCCTACTCAGAATAGCTTCTATTCTAACAGGAAAGATGACAAAGACTGTGTTTCATATGTGCTATATTTAAGTATATACAGCATAAATATGACTAGAAGAAATATAAAGTAGTTAAACAGAGAATGTCCCCAAAGTCTTCATGCAATTTTTAGTTTTAATTACTTAAAACTGTACTAAGACTTTTGTATCACTGTGTAAAAGGTGCTACCCATTGAGATGATTAGGAAAGGTTTCATGTAAAAGTTGTTTTTTGGTGTTGGAGTTGTGTCTTTAAGGAAAAGAGGGGATGTACAGTGATGGAAACGAGGGGCAGGCATGTAGTGTCTTTAAGGGATAGCCAGGTCTTAGGGAAGTCAATAGATTCTAGAGGGGGAAACAGCAAGTACATATATAAATATATTAAGCATAAATATAAAATGAATATAAATATAAACAACATGGTTATTTACCAGGTAGTTTGGGGGTAGGGCAATAACAGATGGCGAAGGATCAGAAAAGGCTTCATGCAGAATGTGGTGTTTAAGCTGCTAAAGGAAGAGAAAAGACTCTTTGAGGCAAAGGGGTGGAGAGGGTAGATGCAGACATTGTCCAATGACAAGGCACAGAGATGAGAGATGGAGTATCATATGGGAGGAACAGGCAGAAGGCCAGTTGACTGGATCCAAGAGTATGTGAATCAGAATGATATGCAGTGTGGCTGCAAAGATGGATTGGGGCCAGTTGTGAAAGGCTTTAAAAACTAACTTGAGGAATTTACATGTGATATAGAGCCAATAGGGAGCCACTGCAGTTGATTGAGTAGGGTACTCCAATCATAAGATTTTACTTAAAGAAAATCACTTTGGCATCAGTGTGTAGGATGGACTGAAGTAGTGAGAAATTTGAGGCAGGGAGACCAATGAGGAGGATGCTGTAAATCCAGATGAGAGATGATGAGGGCCTCAACTAAGGTGTGCGTTAAGAGAAGGAATTGGATGTGAAAGAAATGGCAAGATTTCCAACTGATTAGAAGTTTGGGATAAAGGAGAGTTAGGAGTCAAGGATAATGCTGAGGTTATGAACCTGGGGGACTGGAAGGAGGGTGAAAATAGGAAAGTCTGGAAGAGAGGGCTTGGGGGAAAGATAATGAGTTGTTTTTGATAACTTGATTTTAAGATATCTCTAGGACATCCAATTTAAATGTCCAATAGGCAATTGGTGATGTGGCACTGAAACTCAGCAGAGAGTCTGGTGTTGAATGTAATTATTATAACAATATCATAATAGTATGGTGCTATTATAAAATTACATATATTTGTATATGTATGTATAACGAAGAGTCATCAGCATAGAGATGATGGTTAAACCCATGGGAGCAAATGAGGTTCATAAGACAATGTAGCAGAAGAATAAGAGGGCCTAGGACAGAACCTTGGGCAACACCCTCAAGAGGCATGATCTGGATGATGAGTCAGCATTTGAGATTGAGGAATGGTCAGTCAGATGGAAGAAGCAGGTGAGAGCAGTGTCACATAAACCCTGAGGGAAGAGAGTGTTCTGGATGAGGATGTGGGTAGGAGGGTCAGATGCAGAAGATGGGTCAAAAAGGAAGAGGACTGAAAAAAAAGACCAAAGGGTTTGGCAATTAAAGGGTCACTGGTAACTTTGGACAGAGCAATTTCAGTAAAGTGATGAGGTCGGAAGCCAGACCACAGAGGTTGAGAGTGAGAGAGAGGAGAGGACGTAGAGGCAGTGACTACAGGAAAGGTGTAGGCCTAATTTCTACCAGAGGCTTTATGTTTTCCCAGATGTTTTTATTGTAGGGAATCTCTACCCCAGCAGTTGCTATCCTGAACTTCACTGAACACTGTACTTCTGTACTGCTACATTCACTTGTTTCTGTCTTATTTCCCTAATCTGTTCTATTTACCAACTTTTCTATTTTTCAACTAGGGCTAAATTGTTTTTATGTTTACTGCTTTATAATATGGTTTAAGATCTGGTAGAGCTAGTGTGCCTCCCCTCCCCCCACCCCCTCCGTACCCCTGGCCCCTTTATTTCTCCTTTTCTTGTTATTTCCCTTAAGATGTTCTATCTTTTGTTGCTCTAGCTGAATTTTGTTGTTATTTTGTCTATTGTGGATCCTTCCCTGCGTATTTCATCTCTCCTACCAGATTGTAACCTCCTTGAGGACAGGGACTGTCTCGTACAATTTTCTTCACAATAACTCTTAGGACAGTGTTTTATACAGAGTGGACAATAAGTGAATATTTGTTGAATGACGGTAACGTTAAAGATTTTATTTTTTAATGATCTGTATTTATTGCTTCAGGCTTTGTTTATAGTGTGAAAATATCTGCTGGGTAATAGAATCATTTGGAGAAAGGAGCAGTGGAGGGCTATAAAGGAGCGGTCATGCTCCACTGGCAGCATAGTGTTTTGCCAAAATTACAAAATAATGGGAAAAATAAGTGAAGGAGTTGGCTATATATGTGATCTTTAGTGGAGTTTGATTCTGTGATTTGATACAGTAAAGTGAAGTTTCACTTCAAAAATTAATTCATCTTGGCAAGCATATGATGCTGTCACATGGGTTAGAAAATGACTTGAAGAGTATTCCAAATAGTTTTCTACCATATTCTTAAAGATTCCTTGGATAGGCAATTCCATGGGTTTTTTCCAATGAATGGAAATAAATTATAGACACATAGAACATATAAATAATAAACACGCTTTAATACTAATGTTTTATTATAATTATATTTACATGTTATACATTTTTGTAATTTGTCTACTTCTTATCCCCCCCAGATTTCCAGCTGTTGAAATCCTACCATCCTTCAAGGTTCCACTAAATTTTGTCTTTTATCCTTAAAGTCAACTGTCTACCCCAAGTTAGAAAAGATGTTTCATTTTTACTCCAACTCCAGTCCCCGTACTCATCCAGAAATCATCTCTCCAGATTTCCTCAGATTTCTCTCTGATATTTTCTTTACATTTCCCCACTTTTCTTACTTGTTTTATAGTTACTTTTGTACACATCTCATTCCCCTTCCCACATTAGACTACAAGCTTCTTAAGGACAGGGGCTTGTTTTTTCATCGTGATATCTCTAGTACCTAGTATAGTGTCCTGTGCGTAGTATTTAGGCATTATACAGTTGTTGACTGAAATGATTGATTCATTCATTCATTCACCAAAGAGACAAGGAACACCCCTGTGTGCCAGGCCCAGTGCAGGATGAGGCTCTCAGAGTCAGGCTAAGATGGCTAAGATATCGCTCCTGCCTTCTGGCATTTACGCAACAAGTATTCAGCTGATCACATGATAGTTTCCTGTAAACACACTGTGTATTTTCCCTTTTCTTGTTTCCTCTTTTCCATGGTATGGTTTACCCTTCTGTCCAGCTTTTCCTCTTCATTAGGTACAGGCCTTGACATTTCTGCTGCTTTTTGTCCAAGATCATAAGTCTTCCTCTTTTCTGCTTCTGATTTCTTTTGAACAAAGCCCCATAAAATCTATTCTGTCCCCTATCTCCTGTCCTTTCTCTTTACTGTATCCTTGCCAACTGGTTTACACTCTCAGTTATTTCTTTTCAATGGGTGAAAACCCTTACATTTTGGAACCTTTACCCTGGTGTCTAACTTAAATCTTTCTCCCTCCCTTCCTCTTCCCATCTCTAACCTAGGCCCAATATCTCTGATACTTTTCTCAGTAGAAATGGAAAACAGACTATGATTTTCTATACAACACTCCTCATATAAGTCCTGAAGATGGTTCATTCTAACTTTATCTTCTTCAAGTCAATTTCAAGCTCTTGGACTTTCCTCACTTATTCTGCTTTCTAAGTCTTGAATCATCTTTATTGTCCTGCTCCATTGGAGAGAGTGGTTTAATAAGGTGACATGGGGGTTGACGTTAGGGATTTTTAAAATGATTTGACCTATTAATATTTTGAAAGAGGACACCTAAGACTTACTAATATGCAGATGATACTGATTTTGGAAGTTTTGCAAATACCAGTGATGATGAAGTATAGAAAAGGACCTAAGAGACTTGAAATAAGGACAAGAAATAATAAAATGAATCTCAGTTTGAATAAATACTAATTGATACACTAGGGTAAAATCAATATGGAACTTAGATATTAAAGGAAAAGGAGAGTAATAATGTTCAATAGCATGACACAAAATTAGATGTGAAACTGAGGAGCATTTTGCCAGTGGGGGAAAAAATGATTATAATTATGAGCATGGGCAGCTCAGAAATTCTCACAATAAAGTAGGGGGAAAGCATTATTCTCTTCAAACGAGCTTGTGAAACCATTGTATTTGTTTATGATTCTTTGGCACCATGAAGGATGTGAGAGCCTAAGAATAACAGTAATTGTGTAGGAGAGTGGAGATTGAACTAAATAAGAGCCCAGAGTCAGATGTTCCCTCCTCTGTGAAGCCTTCTCAGACCTGTCCCCCATCCCATTTGTTAATGCTCTCCTGCCTCACATATTTCTCTAGCACTTTAACTAATTTCTCCTTTATCCTACTTTATATTACTCCCTGCCTTGTAGTTACTTATTTGTGTGCATATTGCAGTTACATGCTAGAATATGAGCTCCTTGAGGTCAAGGACTATTTTGTTTTTGTTTTTGTCTTTGTATCCCCAATAGATAGCACAGTGCCTAGCACATAGTAAACATTTAATACACAATTTTAATTGAATTTTCATATCTAGAATTCCATGAGTCTGTGAAAAATTATTCTCATCATTTTTATATTGTTAGTAATTGCACAAATATACAGTGTACTTGAGTATGATATGTTCAAATATATATACTACAGTTTATAGTTACAACACACTTCATGTCCATTTTCTTATATGACCCTCACAACCACCCTGTGAGGTAAGTAGGACAGTTTTATTATCCTCATTTTACAGGTAAGAAAGTGATGCATATTCCAGAAGTGGAAGAGTTATGTAGACCAGGATAGAGTGTTCTAACCAGCAGTCTTAAAGGGAAGTCAAGTGCAGTCTAGATGTCAGGGAAAGTGTCTTGATTTGAGATGTATTCGACTAGATCATGTTGGGTGTGTTAGTGACTTTCCTCAGAACCAAAGAAGTAACATTCTAAATGGCATCATGGGGCCCCAAGAGAAGAAAAGCCAGGTCTTTCCTGCTCACTGACTTTGGGTGAATTAGTATCTATGCTGTCATTGCTCAGATGCTAAACTTCCTGAGGGTGGACATATTGAGTTAACCATATATACTACCTGTTGTAGTGCCATATCTGGTCAGGTGTTTAATAAGCATTCACTTGATTGTGTGTCCAGAAATCAGTAGGATGTAAAGTTTGCAAATCATTAATCTGCCTATTTTCATTTTAAGGATGTTTCTATCAGTGCCTCAGGTTACTAACTGGCAATTTTTATTTATGTTTAAGGCCTTCAACTTAATTTCACAGCCTCTTGGGGCGACATGCATTACCTAGGGCTGACAGGACTTGAAGTGGTAGGAAAAGACGGTCAGTCTTTGCCAATTACATTGGATAAGATGTCTGCCTCACCCAGTGATTTAAATGACCTTCCTGAATACACTGATGATTCCAGGACCTTAGATAAGTAAGTATCTCATAGACAGCAATTTCTGACTTAGCAGTGTTTACTGCACATGTGATGAGTGAATAGAGTAGTGGATCTGAATTCAGAACTGTCTTAACTCCCCCTTATAGGCAATGAAGACTTTGACTCTTCCTTGAGTTTTGTCTTGACCAAATGGAAGTTGGTAGTGGCATAATTTTCATTGCTAAAATAGTAAGCCTTTCTAAGCTAAGTAAGTGTTTTGATGCCTTCCAAGAAAAAATTAGAACCTAAAAGAGGAAATATTGATCTAGGAAGCCATATTCTACCCTCCAGGCTAAAGTCACACCAGGGCCCAATATGCCAGCAATAGGGTACGTGGTACCGGAAATCTATCTTTAAGATGTCCTAACTGTTCTCCTGACTATTTGTTGTCATTGTGCCAAGAATCTAAAGTCAATTCAACCTTGTGCCTTAATTTTTAACCAGGCTAATTATTTGCTGCTTATTTACAAGTTCCATTTCAGCTACCAATAAGTAAGAGGTTTCCATGTGTACAGATACAAGTGGATAGGACTTTTAAAATGCCCATGGCAAGGAGACTATCCTTGTGTCCAAATAAATTCATTTCTAAAAAAGTAGTAATTGCAGATATATATTCTGTTGAATGAGCAGAATCTGATGTAGTGGGAAGAGTACTGGATTGGGAGTCAGAAATCCTGGGTTTGAATTCTGATTCTGCTCCTTATTAGCTGTGTGAACTTGGGCAATTATTTTCCCTCTCTGGGCCTCAGGTTCCTCATCTATCAAATGATGACCTCAGAGGTACCTTCTACCTCTAGATCCTGTAAAACTTCTATAAAACTGTGATAGTGATACTTGATACTAACCAATCAGGGACTATTTTTTCTAGTTTTTTTTCCCCTGACTTAGCTCACCCAGAGTCACCACCAGGAGTCTTGATAATGGAAGGTAATACACAACTGCTTAAAAATGGCAGTGAATGTCAGGGTGGCCATGCAGAGTCATTACCACGTTGTACTCATCATTAAGCCAAAAAGTTGCCATTATCTAAATTGCTGCTTTAAGACCTTCCAGATGAAGCATGAGCCTTCTCCGCCTTCCAGGCCCCTTTCATTATAGGAAAGAAGAGATTTATGTCAATTGTACCTTCCTAATGATCCCAGATTCAAAGCATCAATTGACTTATGGCCCATGGTTGGGAGATGAGTTACTTTGGTGATGTATTTCTCTGATTTCTCTCCCATGGAATGCCTTTGATTCTGGAGCATCTCCATTTCTTTCCCGTTGCAGAATAATACACAAGACACACACACACACACACACACACACACATACACACACACTCCCTGTCAGGGAAGAGCTGATGGAATTGTTTTTATGTATTTGCAGGTTAATAGATGGGACTAACATCACAGTGGAAGATGAGCACATGTGGCTGATCCCTTTCTCTCCTGGGGAGGATCACCTGATCACAATCTATTTTGATAAAGCTGAAAACATTGTGGGGCTGCGCTTTTGGAACTATAATAAATCTCCCGAGGACACCTATCGAGGGGTAAGCCAAAGAAAAGCGGTCTAGCCAGCAGAAATGTTCAGTCGTCTGTTGTGGAAATAGCGCTTTGATAAATGACCAGAGCAGCTTTAGAAGAGCAGCATAAATCGTCTAGAACTTTCAGATGCCTAATTTTATGGCAGGAAGAATAACTTGCTGTTTTTTTTTTCTTTGCAAGCAGCAAATATGGCTTAAAGAGCTCCCTCCAAATAGATTCAGAGAATCTTAGTATCCCATTTCCCCCAGGATTCACAGCACAATGTAGTTACCTGTTTGATAGTTTTGTGTTTCTACTAATCTCTGGTTGCTTGACTCTTTTGCCTTCTACCATTTGATTTGGGAGAGTGTGATGCAAGAGAGAACGTTCTGATCTGTTAGAGCAGGTTCACATATAGGCAACAGTATTCAAACTTCAGTTTCCCAGGTACCTTTTGGCCTAGTGTGTTGGTGCTAAAAGCAATTTATTTTAGGAAGAACTTAAGAAGTTATAGGACTTTCCCCCCCTTTAGAGACAAACATTCTGACTGTTCAAACTTTCTGTAAAGAGTAAAAGAACTCTGAATATGAGCCTGCAAAAAAACTGTTACAGATCTTAGAGACACTATGTCTCTATACATTCACTCTAAAGCTTGGTGTTTCTTACAAGTAAAATGTGGTCATAAAGAACCCTTCTGCTTTGGTATTCTAAATTCCCATAAGCCATTCCCTGGCTTTCTAGTAGAATCTCTGAGAAAAGAAAAGAAGGGTCCAGGAGTGATTGACCAGAGTATAAACACTGCTAGCCCCTGCTACACAATCCTCACTCACACAATTTTATCAATGAATTGGGCCAGGTAGGGAGCGAAGAGAGAGGAAGAGGGCACATATTGCTCATAGATGGCAACTATGCCCACCATATAACCATTTTTCTGCCACTCTGGTTGCTAATCCCATAACCACCGTCGCAAACATTTGTCAGCATATTTTTGTTCACTCTCCTCTGTTTCAAGAGAGCTCTAATTCCTACTCCAAGGAAAGTCACCCATGCCACAAACAATAGGCCAATATGCAATGATACAATTCTCAGAAACACAGAATCTCTATGTTGGAAAGCAGTTCAGAAGCCTTCTAGTCCAACCTGACCCTGACCAAAAATTTATTGTACACCATCCCTGACAAATAGTCCATACAACCTTTGTTTGAAACCCTTCAGTGAGAAAGAATTCAGAGCATCCTATTTCACTTTTAGATAATTCTAATTGGGGAGTCTTCTTTATACCAAGTCTAAATTGTCTCTGTACAACTGAAAACTGTTGACATGTTTCCATAAGTTTTCTCTTCTTTAGGCCAAACATCCCAGCTTTCTAAACTAACTGTCATGTGTCAAGATCTCAAGGGCCTCCACTATCCAGGTCATCCTTCTCATGTCCTTTAGTTATTAATGTCTTTCTGAGAGTTGTGGGACTCAGAACCTAACACAGAAGTCTAGGTGTGGTCAGTGGGATTATCACCTACCTAGTCTTGGACACTGTGCTTTTCATAATGTAGCCTAAGATTTATTGACTTTCTGGTTATATATTACTAAATATATAGCCAATGTATCAGCTATATGTGATTCAAATTGAGCTTGTAGTCCATCAAAACCCCTAGACCTTTGTCAGATAAAATGCTGTCAAGCAATGTAACCTTCATCTTGTACTTGTGAAGTTGATTTTTTTTATACTCAGGTGTAAGTCTTAACAGATATAACCCTGTTAAATTTCACCTTACTAGATTTTGCCCAATGTTGTAGGAAACAAGTTCCTTTGTAACCTTATGTATTTTATGATATGCATTTTAAAAACATTATTTGGGGGGGGGGTGGATCTGTATGCTTTACCAGATTACTAAAGCGGCCACCACACACACACACACACACACACACACACATTAGAAAGTGTTCTAAAGTGTCAGGATCTTTTTGGATTCAAATTCTTTTATCCAGTAGCTCAGCTATCCCTGCAAAATTTCTCTTATTGGCAACAATAAGACACACCATCTATGTCTTTTTCCAAATCGTTCATAAAAATGGTAAATAGCGTAAGACCAAGCAATGATCCTTGAGGTATTCTAATAAAGACCTCCTTCCAAAGTGACATTGAACCATTAGTGACTTCTCTTTAAATCTAGCCATTGAACCTATTTTGAATCTGCTTTGCTTCATGCTTTTCTAATCTAGAGGTAGCCAACACATACTCTGACCTCTTGTGGCCCATAACATTCCCAGATGTGAGTATGGCCAGAATTAGATTAAAATATAATTGGAAAATATTTAATCAAATAAATAAAAATACAGTAAAACATAGATAACATTACATTTTAAAACTAAGTCAATATGTGGCCCCCAGGGATCCTCATGTATGCATTAGTGGCCCCTGTTTTTATTTGAGTTTGACACCACTGGCCTAGCCCACATATCTCTATCATTTTTCTAAGAACAGCATGAATGACTTTGAAAATGCTTTGCTAAAACCTAGGTGAACTGTATTCACAGCATTACCCTGATCTACTAGCCTAGTAACCCTTGTCATAAAGGAAATGAGTTTAATCTGGCATGACCTTTCTTGATGCCTTCACTGATTCCCTTTTCTCAATGTTCACTAAGTATCCCTTTAATAATATATTATAGAATTTTTCAGAAATCAAAATTTAAGTTCACTGGCAAAGTTTGCAAATTTGATCCTCTTTTCTTTTGGGAGAAAATTGGTACGTTTGCCTTTCTCCAATTCTGTAGTACTTCTTTCATTTTCCATGATCTTTCAGAATTCAGTGATAGTGGCTCTTCAGTTACAGCTCCCATTTCTTTTAGTACCCTGGAATGTAGTTCATAAAAGCCTAATGACTGAACTAATCAAGAGCAGCTAGGTTCTATCTTACTATCCCCTGTCTCATTTTGGGCATCTATTCCCTGTTAGCCATTTTTCTTCTATCATTTTCAGTCCAAAGCGTATCATCTTTGGCTAAGAAAATAGGAATGTAATAATAATTGAGCAGATCTTCAGGCTTCCCATCATCCGTTATCATTGTCCCATTAACCTCAAAAAGAAATCCTGTCCTTTCTTTGATCCTTCTCTTTTCCCCTAGCTTTTAAAAATATTTCATTGTTCTTGGCTTTCCTTGACAGTATTGGCTCATTGAGAACTTCAGCACTTCTGACACTATACTTCTGGGCAGAAGACCTGGATTCAGATCCCAGGTGTCCTCTTTACTCCTTGTGTGACCTTGAGCATATCATTTAAGTTCTCTGGACCATCCTTTCCCAGCTAGAAAATGAGGAGGTTGACGTATACATGGCCTGTGAGTTCCTAGCCTCTAAGGCTTATGATCCTATGAAAAGTCAAAAGGAGAATCTTTCTTTAACATCATATAGATTTCTACTTCCAGGAGAAGAGAAAAGATTGCTACCTAGATTAAATTACCACATCAAAACTTGCTCCTATCCCTTTTAGACTAGGGTCTCTTCATCTTTTTGTGTCATGGTCTCCTCTGGCAGTGAAGCTTGTGGGAACCCTTCCCAGAAAAGTAACTGAAGGAAATGCTGAATTTCAGAAGTTAATGAAAATAAAGATGATTTTTTTTTTCCATACAGATTCCAAGACTCCCTAAAATCTGTTCAAGGATTTTAGGGATCCATAGACTTTTTATTAAGAACCCCTGCTTTCTACTGTTAATGTTTTATTACCCTTTCTCTTAAGAAAAAGAAAGAAAGAAACTACCAATATATTACAATTTGTTTTTATTTTTTTGATTTGGCCTGTGATTTCATTGCTAGAGGGAGGTCCCCAGTTAGGATCCTCTCTCTCCTAGTGTACATTGGTGATTGTTCTATGACTTAGATGGATAGATGGACTAAACATTTATTAAACACCTACTACATGCCAGACAGTGTACTCAGCACTTTACAAACATTGTCTCGTTTGATCCTCACAACAACCCTGTGAGGGAGGTTCTATTATTATCTCCATTTTAGATCAAGGAAACTGAGAGAGGCACAAGTTAAGTGACTTACCCAGAGTCACACAGCTGGTAAGTATCTAAGTCTTAGAGAATTGCCTAGAGGTGAATTGACTTGTCCAGGATCATACAGAAGCAAGATTGGCATCAGGGCATTCTTCTGAGGCTGATTCTTTCCACCACACCACACTGCCTCCATGCTGGAACAGACTGGCTTGCCCACCAGCACAGACAGTTTAGAGACTCGTATTCTCACCTCAGTTGTGCCCTTGTTTGTGGACCAGTGTCTCTGCCATCTTGCTTCTCTTATTAAGTACTGTAGGCCAAATGACACTGGTCTTCAGCTTGCTTCCTAATTATGTTAATTACCTAGGCTCTCCTGGTACATAAGCTATTCTGAGAGACACCTGTATATTTGTGATACTTAACTATTTCATAAGGTATGTTATTTCATCAGTGAAGATGGTCCAAGAGGTAACTGGAGTACAATATATAAAAATCCAAGAATTTGGAGTCAAAAGTTCATACTCCAGCTCCATTACTCACTGGGAGTTTAGACAAGTCACCTAACTTCTCTCAGCTTTAATTTCGTCATATGTAAAATGAGGGAGTGGAACTAAATGAACTTGAAGGTTGCTTCCAGCTCTGAATTTCTGATCCAGAGATCTCAGCAGGCTAGATCACTGAGCCATATCTAGTAAGATAAAATGTGACAGAGATAAATGTAAAGTTTTACACTTGGGTGCAAAAAATCAACTTCATAAGTACAAAATTTGGGCAAAATGGCTAAACAAAAATTTGTCTGGAATTGTTTTTGTAGACTCTAAGCTCAATAGGCATCAACCATGTAGCATGGCAGCTAAAAAAAAAAAGACCTAATGCTATCTCAGGCTGTATTAAGAGGCATACTGATAGTCCCATTCTGCAGTGTCCTGACCAAGCTGTATGTGTAGTAATGTGTTCAGTTCTGGACGTCACATTTCAGGAAGGACGTCGATAATCTAGAGTGTCCAAGGGAGGGGGACTATGATAGTAAAGAGCAACTGAAGGTGTTTGGCCTAGGGAAGAGAAGACCAGAAGACAACATGATAGCTGGCTTCAAGTATTTGAACAGATGTCACATCAAAGAGAGAGAGATTAGATTAGTTCTGCTCAAAAGAGAGAACTAAGAACAATGCACAGACATCACAAAGGGGTCATTCTGGACTTGGAGGCAGGGAAAGTGGCTATTAGTAAAAGCTTCCTAACAGAGCTGTCCAAAAATAAAATGGGCTGCCTTTGGAGATAATGGTTTCCCTCCCTTTCTAAGTCTTCAACAAAGGACGGATGGCCATTTGTAGACTATATGTATTTTTTTTTTAAGGCAGTTGGGGTTAAATGACTTGCCCAGGGTCACACAGCTAGTAAGTGATCATATATATTCTTAAGAATTTTCCTGTTCAGGTGTAGGTTGAACTAGACCATTTCTCAGATTCCTTCCAACTCTTAGATACTGTGATTCTGTGGGATTTGTCTTGTATATGTCTGCATTCCTAGACACAATTATGTATTTGAAACATGTTAGGGAAGGAGATATCATTTCTCTTATACACTGCTTTATAGGACATTCTCCATATTTGCAATAACCATACTTCAGGAGTGATCTATTAAGACAACTTGATCATTAGTGAGGAACAGTTCAAAGAGTGCTAGACTGGCAGGCTTCAGAAGAACTGGATTTGAGTCCTGGTTCTGCCAATTTTAAACTTTGTGATTTTGAGCTTGTCTAAGTTTTCCTTGGTTGTAAAATGGGGATCTTAATAGTTGTGCCACCTCCCTTATACATTTGTTTGTGAATAAAGTGCTTGGTACACTGGAGAACACTTGAGAAATATGAGCTGCAGTGGTCATTAGAGAATAGGACTGTTTGGAAAGTAGTCCCAACACCAAAGGTGCTTTTGGGCAGCTGTAGGAAAATGGAGATAGAATTATTACAGTAGGATGCATTAAGCTGCCACTATTATCTTTCCTTCTAGTCCCTGTTTCTTTCTTTTTTGGGGGGGGGATTAGGCAATGGGGTTAAGTGACTTGCCCAGGGTCATACAGCTAGTAAGTGTTATGTGTCTGAGGCCAGATTTGAACTCGGGTCCTCCTGAATCCAGGGCCAGTGCTCTACCCACTGCACCACCTAGCCGCCCCCTAGTCCCTGTTTCGTCCAAGTTTCCTGTGACTCTTGCATTTCAGAAACACATGGCAAGTGACACAAAGGAGGCTGGATAAATATAGCGAGGATGGAGAGTGGCATATGGCCTCAGAATTGGAAACAAGGCTAATGAAATGTCTTTGCTTTACAAAGACCATAGATCCAAGTGTTTCTAGAGATGGCATGCACATTGCTTCTGGAGCATGGCCTGAGAGTTGGAATCCCTAGTCATTTGGGGAGAAGTGTCTGCTTTTCATTTTGCCAAAGTCTTGAGATCCCAGAGCAAGGAGGATGGGTTTGTGAGGAAGGTAGGGAAGGGAAGTCCCTGAGAACAGTAAAGGTAAAGGACACTGGGAGGGCACTGAGGAGAGGACAGTTGCCATTGTGAGTGATGACAAGTATTTTGGCAATCTTCCATTTGAGTTTAGTGATCTACCAATAGACTTTGATCTATAGATGCAGTACCCCATTATTTAGAGAGCTGACTCTGTGCATGCTTCAGGGAGAGGGTACGTGAGGTCTGACTGGCCAGTCACTTATCCTGGACTAGCTAGGGTTTTGTTTTTTGTTTTTTGTTTGCTTATCAAGCATCATCACTTTGGATGACCTCCTAGAAGTAGGCCGTTGAGCTTCTCCAAAAACTAGAGATCATTCAGGATATCAGCTATAAACAGAGCTGTGAAAAATGCACTCAGGGAGGAATCAACAGATCGGGGCACAATCCCAGCTCTGCCAGTTTCCAGCTGTGTGGCCTTGGATAAATCACTAACCTCTCTGAGATTTGTTTTTCTCCTTTGTCAGAGATAATAATATTTATCCTCTCTCCTGCACAAGGTTGTTTTGAAGGTCAGATGAGATGGTCTATGCAAAAAACATCGTAAACTGAAAGGACAGGCATAGGGACTGGTTCTGTGATCTCAATGACACAGGGAACTCCCAAATGAAGAAACCCTGTCTGCCAATACAAGTCAGTACCTTCTTGCAACTTATAGTCTTAGAGTGTTGCCTAAAGTGCCTTAAGGGCCAGGAGGGGCCAAAGGCACAGCACAGCTTGAACCCAGAGCTCCCTAACTCCAGAGCTGGCTTTGGATCTCCCAAACCACACTGCTTCTATGTAAATGCCAGCTATTGAGCCATGAGGATGACCCTAAAGGGACAATTTAGACTTAAAGTGCAGTCTTCACAGTATGAGAAAAACAGGGGCAAGCCCAAGTAAGATAAAGGACTTTATGGAAGCATTCTGCATATGGGCTCCTTTCTGTGAGCAGTGGTGTAAATGTGGACCTAGCGTGAATTTTTTGAAACAATGGGTTGTCTCCTTAGGTCAAAGTGGTACATGTGCTGCTGGATGGCCAGCGTGTCTCCCCACCATCGGGCTTCCTCATCCGCAAAGGGCCCGGCCACTGTCACTTTGATTTTGCTCAAGAAATTCTCTTCATTGACTATTTGCAGCCCCAGACAGCGACAAGACCATTACAGAGGTAAACAAGGAGAGGGTATTCACTGCCCTTATATAGCTCAACTGGGAACCGTGTTTCTTTATATGTTGTTTTATGATCCAGGCTAAGGGTTTTACAAATATCTTACCTTTGAACTTGGCTGTTTCCTAAAGCTTAGCTGGGCCTTTCTCTTTCCTAGAAACCCTAGGATAGATACCCCACTGTACTGTTTTGAGAAAGTTTTAGTTTTTCTCCACCTCACCTTCCTGCTGGGGAGACCATCCAGATTTACTAGATTTCCATAGCAGACACCAGAAGAGTGTATCTTCCCACATATTTGTTGTTTAGCATTCAGAGTCAAACACATGAGGACATTTGACAAATCAATATCCACTGAGAAGAGAGGTGGGCATTTCATGGACCCTCTCAAATGTTTTTGGTCCTTGTGTTTTAGCATGTTAAATGCAGGCCATTTTGTATGCACATTCATTCATTCATTTAACAACTATTTACTAATGCCTGCTACACATAAGGCCCTGTACCTAGAATCATGCAAGGATATTAAGATGAATAGATTCCTTGCTCTAACTTAGCCTACAGTCTAGTGTAGGTGAGCTAAGACAAGTAAACATGATTCAAGGCAGGAGCTGCTGCAAGAGAAATGGAGAGAAAGACCTTTAGGTCACTAGAGACTCTTCTACCACTAAAACCTATGATCCTTTGGATTGGGCTTAATCCTGATTCTGTTGCTTGCTGTATGACCTAAGTCAAGTCCTTTTCCCTCTCTTTTTCTCAGTCTTCTTACCTACAAAGTGGAGGGGGTTGAACTGGATGATCATCTTTCAGCTTTAAATCTTATCTCTGTTCTTTTAAGGACTGTTGAAGTTTAGAGTAGATAGATCTCTATCTAACACTGGTATTTGAAATTATCAAGGAAAATTTCTTAAAGGATAGAGATGAAGGAAGTGCCTTCCAGACAGAGGGAAGAGAATGAACAAAGACTTGGAGGTGGGAAATTCTGGGAGGTCTTTGGTGAATGAGTAGCCTAGTTTGGCTGGAGTGTACAGTTTCATGTGGGAAAATACTGGAAAGTAATACTGGAAAGGTCATAGAAGTTCTTAAGAGATTAAACTTTATCCTATAGACAGTAACAGTTTGGTCATTTAAACACCTAGTGGTTGGGCACTCATAATAAAATCAACCTAAATGGAAATGTGGACTATTTCTTTATTGGATTATTGATGGGTAAAGCTCGTATACCCAAAATACAGCACGTAAGCCAATAACTGACCTGAAATAGGACTCAAGCAGGGGTAGGACTAAAGGTTTCTCCATATTAAGGTAAGGACCATGTGCTGGACAGTTACTGATGAGTTGATGGAAATGGAGCTATAAAATAATGGTGGCGGTGACTGTGGGCAGCTTCAGCTTTGTCCTGATAACTGATTATTCTAACACACCGTGATAAAAGTCCTTATCACACTATTTTATGTTTTAGCAGGACCAACTTAAAGAATACAGAGCAGGCCAGCATGGACTATGAAGCCCCATTGATGCCATGTGGCTGTATCCTTCTCTACTAAGCTGTCACACCAAGGGAAGTTGAGTCAAGTTGGGGTAGTCATTGTCTCCTTACACGGTTTCAGAACTTTGTTATTTATCATAACTCTTCCCCTGCCCTATTGCAAGTCCCAATTCAGAAGAAGAGAGAGAGAGAGAGAAAAGAAGAAGAAGAAGAAGAAGAAGAAAAAGAGAAAGAAAAGAGAGAAAGTTTTATAAATATATTATACTTGTATTTCATGCACCTATATATGCATATTCTTTAGATATGTTTCAGGGTATTGCATTCAACACCAGAAGCTCTCAAGTTTACGGAGTTTCCCTACTTAACTAAAATGAAATGTTACATTCATTTTATGCAGTGGAAAGAGTCCTGACCTTGGAAGAGGAGACTGAATTCAAATTCCAGCTATACTACTTACTAGCTGTGCAACCATAGGAATGGGACTTAACATTTCTGTGCCTTACTTTTTTCATCTGCAAAATGGGGAAAATAATACCTTGTTGCCACCAACATCATAGGGCTATTATGAGGAAAACATTTTATAAGGTTTAAAATTCCTACTATTGTTATCATTATTATTGTTATTATTATTAATATCCTTATCATTACAATTTCTTCACTAAAATCTTCCCCAGATGCCTCAGGGTGGTATGGAGCTAGTCTGGGTTCTTGAAAGCTGTGCCGCCAGAGTACAAGCTCTGACAGACCCACCCAGCTAGAAATCTTCCAGTGCCAGGCCAGAGATAGATTGTGTCCAGCTTGAGGACCAGTCTAGGCAGATTCATAGATGTTCGTTACCAGGAAATTGACCTAATAAATATTTTAGGCCACAGCAGTTTATAAAAACCATTTAGGTATAGAGGAGTTACAGACTGCTGCATCTATACTAGTTCCTTGAGGTATTAAAGAATTATTACTTAACATAACTCAGCGTTTATTAAGCACCTGCAGTGTGCAAAGCACTGTACTAGACATTGGAGATACAAAGCTAAAACCAGAACAGTTCCTGCCTTCAGGGAACTTTCATTTTACCAGGAAGAATTATTAACCTTCTATTGATGAAAAAAAATTTTTTTTTTACAGCTTATAATTCATCTGATTACACAGTCTTCTAGGGAAAAATCACGTGGACTGGGCATCATAATGCCTTAATTGTCATCTCTGACAGTGACTTCATAAGAGAGACTGAAAAGGACCATGATAGGGGTTGGTCAGGAAGGCCCATTGAAGCAGGGAAAGGTGGGATTAGCGAAGGGGTCATCTCCAAGAGCTTCTTCACCATAGGAGGAAAGTATTCTGTTAAATGATCCATCCCACCTCCATGTCCCTCTTCTGCACTTAGTGAGGAGTGGATGGGAAATGGCAGTGAAGAAAGTCTCACCTTCCCTTTGTCTGTGCCAGAGGTTCCTGAACTTATTTGGCCTGCCGCTCCCTTTTAAAAAAAATTACTCAGCATCCCCCTGGAAATCTACTTTCTTTAACTCTTTTTACAGTTTTTCTTTTAATTTGCATCATTTCAAACATACAGACATATATATATGTATATACATATATATATATATTTAAATGACACATCTTAAATTTAATAATTTATTGTGAATTTGTGGGTTTTTTCCTGCATTGAAATTTTGATGACACAATATTTCACCATGTAACCATATAGTATCATGTAAACAAGTCATTACACACACATATTCCTGCTGATGTATACTGTACTTTCCGACAGTACACAACATGCTGCCAACACTTGCTTGTTAAGACCTGTCAGGGAACTTGACCACTGATTGGTTATAACTTGCATTTTGTGTGTTTGTTTGGAAAATAATGAAATCACTACAACTTTAACTCTGTTACTCAACAGGTGAGACCTGTATAAACATTTTTTTCAAAATTTTCTTATCTTCTTTCTTTATGCTTTCAGCCCCTCCTCATTCAGTACCCCTCAATTGGACCTGAGGCTACCACCTTTAGCACCCCCCAGGGCGTGGTATCGCCCACTTTGGGAAGCTATGGTCTGTGCTTCACAATCCTTAGCTATATGGAAGGATTAACCCTGACAGTGATTGTGCTAATAGGACTTTGTCAAGTATTTATAGTGGGTCGCTTCTGAAAAGGTCAAAATGACATCCATTTAATCTCATTTGATAACTGACAGGAAAGGTGGAACAGTTGTTCTCCTCATTTTATAAGTAAGGAAACTGAAGCCATGAGGGTCACACAGGGGATCAGTTATCAAACCGGGGTGGGTGCTTCTGTCTGCAGACATGTGGTTTTCATCCTGCCTTGTTTATTGTATCTCTAGCACCTAGCAGAGTGCCCAGCACATAGTAGGTGCTTCATAAGTGTTTGGTTGTTGCGTAATTGAGGTAAGATAGCACAGGTTTTATTGTCTCCATTTTACAAATGAAGAAATTAATGCAGCTAGTAAGTTAAATTAAAATTAAAAATTAATATCGCCCAGAGAGCACTAGAGAAGCATATGGCAGGGGTGAGTGGGCTGCAATGCATTGTGAACAACAAATTCTGAAGGAGGTTCGGAGTAAAAGATGTAGTCAGAGAAATGTATGTGAAAGGAAAGGAAGACAGGCTGGTCCTTCAGTAAGAGTAAGAGAGAGACACAGCCCATGTGCTCTACTGATATCTTTAAGAAGTCAGGAGAAGTCTAGGAAGATCCTCAGCATGGCAGATGCAGCACCCCACCCCCTGCCTTCCCCCATCCCCGCCAAGTCCTGGGGAACTTCTTGTAGGACCTGGACAAGTCACCTGAAGTGAGTGGACATGGACAGGTGGCAATGGGAAGCACCTTGGGAGGGAATGACTGGGTGTGTTAGACCTGGAGTCTTCTGATTAAAGATCCAGTGTTCTTTCAACAAGTTCTTGCTGCATCTCTTGAACAACCACAGCTTTGAAATATTTGAGAGGTCTCAGCCCCAGAGGAGAAAATTCCTTTTTTCTTACCAATCTGTAGTTTTAAATGAACAATGAAACTCATCCGTCCCTTACTGTTTTTACTTCATTCTCAAAAAAATTAAGTTGCTAGCCCTTAATAGCCTATTGCAGTCATCTTCCAGTTTCAACTTCTCACCAGCTGGGGAGATCCATATTACATTGGCCTGAATGGACTGGAGCTATATAATGAACACGGAGAAAGAATTCCTTTGACTGGAAACAGTATCCTTTATTGTACAGAATGACCCATCCTCCCACATTGAAGGGGATGTAGGAGGTTGGGAGGGAACAAGTCAGTTACATTGCATGTCAGTGTCAAGTTTTATTTTAAAAAACTGCCACCTCATTAAATATGCTTCTGAGACAGGAGATTTCATCCTGTCTCTGGTTCTTGAAAATCCCAATGAACTTTTGTATCAGAGTCAGTTCATATCTCCATGGGCAGCCCCCTCATTAGAGCCACCCTATACCACCTGGTTCAGAGCTGCCATGGGTCACACAGGCTCTGGGGGATTGGCTAGAACTTCATGCCCAAATATGGGACCACCATAAATGACCCAGTTCTTGGCCTCTTATCCAGCCACCTCCGCCGCCCAAATTGTGATGCTCTTGCTGGAGAGAGGCCCATTAGAGCCGGAGGCATTCCTCCCACCGTGCTCTTGATGTGACTAGGGAAGCGGTTTCAGGTTATCAGAACTGTCAGGCCACTTTTCTGCCTAGGTGATTACTGTCAGTTCCTTCTTTTCCAGATTCCTCTCCCAAGTCTTCCCCCCACTCCCCCCAAAAAAAACCCCACACTTGTAAATTTTTCTTTCTCATTTGATAGTCTTTTTTCTTCCCTTGTTTTTAACAGTTCTGGGAAGCCCAGATTTATCAGTCAGCCTTTTGGCCAATCTCCTCTACTTTATTCTTCTCAAGACTGGCCCGGCCCACCCCCTGTGCTCTTGTTCCTTTCTGCCTTCATGCGCTCTCATTTTCTCTTGCACATCCCTAATATGGCTGTCACTTCAGCAGCTACCAGGACTAGCACGCAGCAGCTCCTGCCTGCCTGGTACTTTGGCCTCACACTCCCCTGAGTTCTCCTGTCATCTTGATGTAGGCTGGCAGATATGGATTGGAAAATGGTGTGCTGAGTACTTTGTTTGGGTTATTACAGCTTAAATTTTCACCTCAGACATTGCTGCTTTCCCAGACAGTGTGAATACCCTAGAGGGGGTATGTGGAGATGTCCGAACTCCAGACAAGCTCATTGACCAAGTGAATGACACCAGTGATGGCAGACACATGTGGCTGGCCCCAATTCTCCCTGGCTTGGTAGGGTTAACCAATAGCACATACTGTCTATTGTAGCATTCTGATGTTTGGTGGAAAAATATGTTTTTTATTTTAATTTGGTATATGCCAAAGGTAATGGAAAGAGCCCTGGATTTGGAAGTAAGAAAAACGGGATTTTAATTCTGTCTCTGTTCACCAAATAGCTATGTGACCTTGTGCAAGTACTTTTATCTCCGTGAGCCTCAGTTTTTCTGTTGATAAAGGGAAGATATTATTATCCGTCTACCTCACAGGGGCATTGTGAGGATCATATTGTGGTGTAATGATATATTATGTGTAAAAGGTCTTTGTAAACTGAAAAACACTATAGAAACGTGAGGGACTCCTAAGTCCTGGTTGCCGTTACTGACAGCTGAGGTCTCAGGTTCAGCCTTGCTGTGTGTAGCCCTTGCCATCTAAAGAATGAGTCTTCACAGCTATCATAGCGTCTGGAGGAAAAAGAATCCACGATCTTGGTGTTCTCCATACCACCAGGCCAGACCATTTCCTGAGGTTCTGTGGGATGAGGACCCAGTGTCAGGGATTCTGTGGTCTTGCTGTGGTTGTCCTAAGGGATTAGAGGATGGAGCAGAACTGACTGTTTCTGTGGCCACTGTTTTCTGAGAATAGCCCTCAAACAAGAGCTGTCCTGTGTGCTTCACGCCCTCATGGATGTTTAAAATCTGAGAGTGCCAAACTGCCTTTAACTTTTATTTTTCCAAATCAGAACAAAAGCATGAGGTTGTTATAGGCTTGTAGGATTTAGAGCTAAAAGAGATCTCAAAGAGCATCTAGCCCAGGCCCCAGAGGCCCAGAGAGATGCGGTCTGCCCAAGGCCTCACATCTCCTACGTGGCACAGCCAGGATGTGAATTTGTTTCATCTGACTACAAATATGGAGTTCTTTCCTCTGCCCTCAGATACCCTGACTGACTCTAGGTTCTGAAAAGAAAGCATTGCCTGAGGATTTGAGGAGATCGAGGACTGGCTTCCAGGATGGAGATGAGTCTGACCTGGGAGTTGGAGCCCCAGCTTCTCATCCCCTATCTCTTCTTCCCTCTTTGGGGCTCAGTTTATTACTGTCACATGAGAGGGGCCCAGACAATCTACACTGTCCCTTCCAACTCCAAATCCTACAGTCCTTATGATCCCATGACAGGAATGGAAGGTTAAAGTTGATTTCCCTCACCCATCCCTGGAAATTTACCATCTCCCCCCACAATTATGCAGCTCTGCTTTTTTGTGACACTTTCTCCTGTCTGTGTTTAATGTGTGGTCCATGGGTAAAGGGAAGGAAAGCTAAATAGCAGCCATTGAGGAATACTTCCTCTCCTCTCTGGTGGCGTATTCACTCTCGCAGGGCCCCAGCTCCTGGGCTGGGGGAAGTTAGGATGGATGGGGCATTATGAAGCCTCCCCTGTAATGGAGGGAGGGAGATGTGAGCACCTGAGAAAACTGCTCCTCGGAGAGCCTCGTCAGCATTTTGCTGTTTGCCAAGGCTGTTGTTACGGAATGCAGCCATGTGTGACAAGGCTGGCTCTCGGCTCTCAGGAGACGAAAGGCCCAGGGTGAAAAGGTAAACAGGAGGAGGAGAACCTGGTATCTTGGTGGGATTCCAGAGCCCGGTGGGACTCACTCTCCTTGGGATTCTGGGTTTGGAGTCTGAGGACTATGATCTGAATTCTGGCTCTGCCCCTTCCTGCCTTCAGGACCTCACCAAGTCCTTCAAGGCTTCACTCAGCTGCCCCCTCTTATGGGAATCCTTTTCCAAATCCTACTGGTTGTAGGTGACCTCTCTGGGCCTCAGTTTCTTTCTACAAAATGAGAGTGTTAGACTGTGATCCCACAGGTCCCTCCCATCATTAAATTCTATGGTCAGAAGCTTCTCTGCCTACAAAGGTTTAATCTCTACTTTAGCATTATTTCCCCCTTTCTCAGCAGTGTATCTCTCCACCCTGCGCCCACCCTTGGCCTTCATGACTCTGTGTCAGTTCCTTTCTGTTGGCAAACATGTCTGCTTGAATCAAGTCTTTCCTCTGACAGGTGAATCGAGTTTATGTGATCTTTGATCTGCCTACCACTGTGTCTATGATCAAATTGTGGAATTATGCAAAAACTCCCCATCGAGGAGTAAAGGAATTCGGAGTAAGTACTTATTATGCTGGCTGCTAATTGCCTCTTGGCAAGTATATGATTTTTTTTTCATTTAGTTGCAACTTTGAAAACAAGTGTCTGGTCTGCCAGGGTACAAATAATCCCCACTGTGAACTGAAGATGTAACAAGGAGAGCAGGTTTTCTCTTGGGACACAGGTCCCTGATGCCAAGCCCTTCTGACTATACCCAGCTGTCAGGCTGCCCCTTTGTATCTGTGGGACTAGCAAAAAATCAGAAAGGCATAGTTATGTCCTTGAAAGATGTGATTCCAAACTTGGAATCGTGACCTGCGTTCAAGTCCTAGTACTGTTAACTCCGCAGCCTCTTCCCCTAGGGGCCCTTGAATTCTGTGCTCTGCTCCTTTGAAGCCATGCCATATCTTGGGAGGTGGTCTTTATTCACAGAGTCTGTAAAGACCTTCCCCTTTAAAGGTTATGTCCTTTAAACACCATCTCACTCAAATAGCTGTGTCTTTTTCTCTGTGATTGGAGATTTAAATGGTGTCTCCGGGGGTGGGAGAGGGTGCCCCCCATCTCTGTTCCTCTCCAAGTCTAATTCATGTCACTGCCCTGCTTGAGGACCTTCAGTGATTTCCTGGGGCCTCTAGGAGAAAAGTCACATTCTTTGGTTAGGCATTTTCAGTCTGGATCCAGCCCATCTTTCAAGACTTTCATGTTGTTTCCCTTCAAGCACTGTACACCCCAGCCAAACTGGCCAATTTTCTCTTCACCATACATAGCATGGCGTCTCTTGCCTCTGTGACATTGTATAAGCTGCCTTGCCCACCACGCCCACAACCATGCCCCTTCTTACCTCTGCCTTTCCGAATCCCTGCCTCCCTTCAGGGCTGCATCAAATGCCACCCCATCCCCCCAGTTATGGTATACTTACTAATTATATATTTTACATTGATAACTCTCCATGTTGTTCCCCCACTCCCCCACAGGCCAGGGACTGAGTCATTTTTTCCTTTGTATCCCCCTTGTCCAGAGGT